GTATGTTAGCATTTGGTAGAGGAAATTCTTTGGGAAACGTAAGCAAACTTTATTGTGTAAATTGTCGACTATGGTCGTCGTCGGACGTGTGGGAAATGTGTAGAGAACATGGCGTATTTTTAAACATACCAAAAAATCGATAATACTTTGTCATCCTCACTAACCGCAAAGAAGCCTGGCGTCAATCAACAAAGCCCGCTATTGACCAAGGATTACAAAGAATTATCGATTTTTCGGTATGTTTAATAATGCGCACTCTTTTCTACATATTTCCCACACATCCGACGACGACCAGAGTCTAACATTTATACAATAAAGTTTGTTTATGTTCCCCGAAGAAGTTCTTCGAACACATTATATTTCTTGGGATGCCAGTTTTCAAATACATATGTTAGCATCAATACTAGGAAAGCTGGGATGACTGGTCAGGTCTTATTCAAAGTGCTCCCACCGTCAGCCGATAGGACTAAAGTTGGAAATCGACACTGTCAATCATTTAGCGCACCGAGTAATGCCGACTGCTGTGCACCCTGGGAGGCAATCTGCCGTAAATGACAGGTTGCCAGGGTAACCTACCCAACCAGTCCGCAGACTGATTGATTTAAACAAAGAAGTAAGTCACCATTTCACCGCAACAGGCAGTGCTGAAGAGAGTGAGATGAGTGACGGCAAAAATAAACAGCAATAAAGATAGATGAAGACAACGACGAAGAAGATAAAATAAGCGAGTTGATAAAACGCCAAAATAGTAATAGTAGCAAGTTGGGTTGGCCATGAGAAGCTGAACTGTAGTACTGAACTCACCATCAGGTCAATCGTTCGCCAGCAGATTCGGGTAAGTTCTTCCTCATCGATTGCAGAACACTTGTTCAGTTGGAAGAGGACGTTCTCGGGCGTCATATGTTTCTGGCAGAAATAAAGGCAAAGAAAGGCACGTACAGGCTTAACATTGATTAGACAGCTATCATATGTATGTACGCAAAATACAGTTGCAGCTAGTAGGCTCAGATTCTGCGCAATATGAATGGGAGCGCACGAGTACTTAAATCACAGGTTCCCCAGACAGTTTGATCGTCGACGTCGACGATGTTCCCCGTGCAGGGACGGTGACTTGCGCGGCATCTACCTCACACTTTCCCTACTCTGCCACCTCGGACCGTTGTTAAGACAAAGTAAAGAAGATCAAAGATGGAAAAGAGCGCGGGCCCATGTACTCTGGATCACCATGAACAGAAAATCACAACAGTCATAAAGTGAACCTCGTCAAAATAGACGGTCGAAAGATCGTGTATGTATATGAGTTTCAAGGGGGCTGTGGAGCTCACAGACGAGTTTCCGTCCTG